GGATACGGTATAGCCTATAGGTATGTATTACCTTGGACCAGCTATGCAAATATTTTCAGATTTTTTTGTGAACAACAAAAGGAATATATTTTATGAACACTCAAGGCTAACATGCAAGAATGGCATTGAATGATTAAATTAACAGCAAGCAAATTTTTAAGGAAAGTCTGAAAATTACTGTTGCAGAGGTGATCTAGAGGACTGAAGTAGTAATGCCGTGCAACTGGAGGAGCCGTGCTGTGAAGCGCAATGCTGTGCCTTGCTCTTCTTTTAGCGGGAGCTTCATTCTCTGCCAGATAATTATTCACATATGATTGATCACTTTTTAACTGTTACATACATCTGCCAGATAATTATTCACATATGATTGATCCCTTTTTAACTGTTACATACATACTATAATTCAATTGATTCATGCATTGTCTCTGACTTTATGCAATTGTGCAAAAATTTCAGATCAATTGGACAGGTCAAATTGTGTCATATATGGATTATAAGATTTGTAGCAGATGAAATTATTTTTTAATTTTTTATAATAATGAAAAAAATTTTTTTTTATAAAATTGTTTATTCTGTCAATTGATTCATGCATTGTCTCCAACTTTACGCAAGTGTGCCAAATGTCAGATTGATTGGACAGGTAGAAATGGGTTAAATATCGATTATAGGATTTGTAGCAGACAGACAAACAAACAAGAAGTGAAGTTAAAGAGTGTTGTAAAATCATTGCATTTTGTTTCATTGTCATGTGAATGTGATTTATCACTCACCATCATTATCAAGTATTTCTTGAGCTAAGCGTTTCAGCCCTCTTCTCTCAAGTCTCACCACCCGGGAAGACTTAGTCACTGTAAATAGAACAGAACTTAAATAAAAAAACATGAATATTTATTCCTTTCTTCCGGGGAAAAATTAAAAATTATGTAGTATAGGAAGAATATGCATATATTAGACACACTCAAGTAATTTATTTTCAGCCAAGCTGTTCCAAATTGTAGTTTGTGAAAAGTGCAACAATGAACTGAATATTGAAAAGGTTTTTGAAAATTTCCAATATGTATACATACACTTTACCCAACATTATCTAATTAATCTCTAATCAATCTAATCTCACTAAAATTAGCATTTTTTTTATACAAATTTATTTTAACATAACCTCATGAGGTAAATGCCCATCTGCTAATTTTTTTATAAAATCATTTTGTAAATTTTATAAGCAATGAAATTGTTTAGAATAAATTATTTTAAGTACATAAAAACTACTTTTTTAAAAGTTTACTTCAACAAATTTATATTGGCAAAAATTTGAATAATAATCTGCAGGCCTAAAAATGTCCAGTATTATATATTGTCCAATGGACTGGTAACAAAATCTCCAGTTAATCAAAAAATATGGATGTATGTATATACCTATATAAATATATAAACAAATATGAAATACATATACTATGTATTTCAAAACCATGAACCAGAAAATGATCATTACAACAATAATGTGAAAAAATTCAATTCAGCCAACATAAAAGTAAAGCAAAAAATTCAGTTGTCTATAGACTATAATTGCTCCTGAAATTCTGATTAAATCAATTGATCAAGTAATTTAAATTTTCATGCCCTGCATTGGATGAAGGTTCAAAGTGCTTCTTTACTAATCAGTGTAACATGTAAATCTGGAATTGAGTCACCCACTCAGAAGTTTGCAGAAAATTTCTAGAAGGCTGGTTATCTCAAATTGCTAAAAAGAAATGCAAGCATCATTATCATGACTCATTCCTCATGAAAACCCAAACTTTTTTCATACATTAATTTAAAACAACTACTATTCAACTAGCAAGTTAAAGTTGTCACAAGTGAGAAGTATATTACTAGTCAAAAGTGGCCAAACTTGTATACTGGTACATTACCGTACATAGGTACTAGTTACTTACCAAATTGCATTGAATCATTTAGCAATGTGGCTGGCAGATGTTGATCAGCAATGGCATCTTCTTTCAAATTGCGGTAGTTGTTCCCTTGCTTGATGCCACAAAGTTCAAATCGGAAATCTTGCTTGTATTGCAGAATGCAGAGTACTGAAGTGTTTACCGCATATTCTGGAGTTCTCACACTTATCAACACTCATGTCACTTCGGCCACAAGCCAAAAGACATTTTTAAAAAAAATTTCACACCTTGGAAATGTATAGTTTATAATCAATGTTTTGTGAAGAAGTTTCACAACCAAGCACAGAGCAAACAGTCATGTTTGCTCTATACTAATTGAAACTAGTCAACTAGTCAACGGAGACATGCTTGCAGTTGTAGCCGAGCCTGAAATCATGAGTGAAATGAATGTGCAACTTGCAAGATCTCTCAGTCTCATGTATGAGTATACACTTATTATGTCAAAAATAGCATTCTATTCATGTTTCTCACTTGTTCAGTATTGCTTAGCGATTTGATAAAAAAAAGCTACTTTTGTACTCCCTACCTTAGGCTTAGGCTTATACCGTACCTAGGCTAGGTACCTAGTCTTCATATTTCCTTAAGAAAAAATTCCTATCACAGATTAAAGAATCTTTCATAATGATAAGGTGCATGATAACATGTAAAACAGTAATTAATGGTTCACTGAAAAAGTCACCCTCACCAGGTTACCCCTGATAGAGCTGATTCCAAAATTCTATGCTGATTGCAGTCTCACACTCTCACTCTCACTGTCTGTCACACTCACACAATTGTCCTACCTTTATAATAAGCATACCTACCTACTAGCCTATTCTACTCATTTTACTAAAGAGTTTACAATTGAGTAGTTTTATAAATGCCAAAATATCTAAAATAATAATTGAAGAATAATAAAAATACCCACTGATTTCCCAATCCCCACATCTACATTTACTGTTACTGATTTACAAGCTCTGCACTGGGTTGATTGGGTCATATAGGCCGCCAAAAATGTAATGCAATGTTGAGATTTCTCAATACAATTTTCCGGAAAAAATGGCAAGTAAGCAATAAATCAGATGAAAAATATTAACAAAAATAATAGCAGAGAAAAAAAATATACAGCGTCAGCTCAAAAATCAATTCGTTTGAATGGCGCCACCATTTCTTCAAACGTTAGCAGAGCGGCAGCCATATTTACTGGCATAGCATATACAAATAGAAGTTTGTCCGTCGACCCATCTTTTTTTGTCATTTAAATATGTTTCCGCTCAAGAAAATTGGTATGTAACACCGGCACCGTAAACAATAGCATTATTTGCATTTATAAAAGTTTTTCGGGCCATTTTGAGGAGGTCAATTTTATTTTATCTCATCTCAAATATGGCACCAAAACAACGTAAAGCACGGCCCGACAAGGGTTTGTTTACGTTTACGATCCAAATGACGTCACTAGAAAGACGCACTACAATGCGGAACTTTTCGTGGGTTAACCTTTTATAGTTCAACCATGGGTCCACTAGACTGAACACTGAAGGTGGCACGTGAGACGTCGGCTTAATGTCATAGTTGTGAGCCCGATGTAGTCCATATTGGGGAGAAGTCTACAACCTTCTCTATTGCAAGAAAATTTATAGACTACATTGGTCTCTTGGAAAACTCCCGTTTTTTTTTGCAGGGGTTATTGTTCATTACAAGATTCTGTATTTTCTTGTTTTTGTAATAAATCAGTAGTTTAATTTTATTATTAATTACGTTCACGATAATGTTGTGAACGATAGAATGAAAGATCCGTTCATCTGCGTTATAACCGCTGGTCATTTGGTTCTCATAGTAGATGGTTGTGACGTTTGCGTCAGTCTCTGGTTCATGGTTGAGTCTCATGGTTGAACTAGTATAAGGTTGACCCATCAGAAGCCCATTTTTGCGGATGTAGTTCGTTGTTTGCCTGTGACGTCACTGATCTCAGTGACATCACGGGCATTAACCAATCACCGAAATGTGTTCAAACCAGTCGACCAATCAGGCATGGGAATGACGGGTTTGTTTACGTTTCTCGATCTACGTGACGTAACAAGAAAGCTGAACTGAAAGACGGAACTTCTCGTGGGTCAACCTTATATAGTTCAACCATGGTTGAGTCTGTTGTGGTACATTCGAAGTTTCGAAATTTCTGTGTCGATGGTTCTATTGGTAAATCCGTTATTGACCAGGATTCTTTTGCAATTTCTCAGCTCCGTATTCAAGTCATTTTTAGACGAGCAAGTTTCGACGTCTCGGACAAATTTACGGCCGGACCCGCGGCCGCCGGACTCCAAAAATAGAAAAAAGCCTAGCCAATTAACGAAAACCTCTCAGGGTAGGTCCAGTTAGGAACAGGTTCCATTAAAAACACAAAAAACCTAGAAAAACTCATAAAAACACTAAGAAAACCTTTCCGGCCGCGAGACCAGCCGCGGGTCCGGCCGTAAATTTGTCCGAGACCTCAAGTTTCGAAGGCTCGTTGGATGAGAGCACGTATTGTGCTTCTTTTATAGCTGGGCATTCGCTATCGGCGTTCAGGACTCTCCCGACATCTGTTGGTTTTCTGTATACTTTTGTGACGAACGAATTGTTTTTTTTAGCTTGGACGAGTGTATCTAAAAAATGTAAGGTGCGATTTTGTCCGAGTTCGTAAGTAAACTTCAAGTCGGAATTCATTTCAAAAGTCATTCGTAGATTCATCAGTTGTTCTTCATCTCGAACGACAACTGCAGTACAATTCGGGCTTATTCAGTTCATCTGAAAGTACTCGATTTTCAATTTCGAACATATAGTATTCAGGGTAACAAAATTGACTCGTAAACAGGCCCTGGGCCTAACGCCAACCATCAGCATGCAATATCTACACATAGCCTCAGATCAATGAGCTGTGGGTACCTAACTCCGGCTAACAGTAAATCCGCTTTGCACAACACAGTCTCTGCTCCACAGCGCCGCAGCACAACTGGCCGGAGCGCAACAGGCCCTACCGCAACAGGCAGCTCAGGTTAGGTTATGTTAGGTTACGCTAGGAGTAGCTGCTGCGGTAGGGCATGTTGCGCCCCGGCCAGTTGTGCTCCGGCCTGTATGCACTCCGGCCTGTGACTGAACGGCGCTGTTGTGGTGGGCGCTTTGTGTCAAAAGCCGTGAAGATGCCCGGCTGCGTTACGCTCGGGAAGGTATATGAATCGCACTGTGGACTTGGGCTATGCTGACCTCTAGCTATCCACCCGATAATAGCCTATCACAGCAAAGGAGATTCCTTGTTTCAGTCACGAAATAGAAATACGCCTACGCATTCCTTAGTCATACAAAATAAGCTCACAGAAACGAGATTCCATATTCTAGTCATAAAAATATATTCTATCATATTGAGTCACTAATCTAACAAAAGAACATCATCAACATAACACGTGGCCAAAACGGTACTCCTAAAAATAAAAATATCACATAGTATGCATCCCTTCACACAAGTTTCATTGAGTTCCTTCATTACTTTGGGAGATATACCTTGTTCCCTGAATTTGGGGAGTGGCCGTGAGACCGGCCGTAAATTTGTCCGAGACGTGTCAATACATCCGAGCCGTGTTTTCTCGACGTTTCAGATTATTTGCACTTGGTCTTGGTCGAGTTTGCACCTAAGTCACTTGGTCCAGGTCCGGGTTTTAGTCGGTACCTATGAGAAGGCATGGTTGCAACGAGATAATGATGATTTTTATGATTTAATAAAAGTCAAGTGTGGAAAAAGATTTGGGAATTTATGTCGACAATGAGCGGCAATTTTCTAAGCATGTTGAAACGCAAGCTAATAAATCCAACAAAATTCTTGGACCGATCAGACCAATGTTGCCAGATGGGCCTTTTTCAGGCAAAATTTCGCAAATGTGTCCTTTTTTAAAATGCATTGGCCTGTCAAAATTCATTTTGCCTTTCGGGGCCTTTTTTTATGAAAAATATAACTCTCGCCTTTTTTGTAATAATTTTGATTTTCACTTTTAATTCAGTTTTGCCCATGACAGGTACACCCAAATTTCGACATGTAACTGTGTCAACACTTCTGTTTAGGTGGCAACACTAGCGAGTGCCGCCTAATCAGGGCAACACTTTGGTTGAACCATGGGACTACTGTATATCCAGTTGCCGACTCGTATTAATAACCATGGATGGCAGAGCTGAGAGCGCGGATAATCGAGTATAGTTTTCACTTCTAAAGGCTAGTAAATTCAGGACAAATTTTTGAGGTTACAGCGCTGTTTCTCGATACATTCATCCTTCTGGTGTTAGTCACTACAAAATTTCACTTTGAATAAATATAATAACTACTCTTCTCCAAGTTATGATAGGCACTATATTTTTTTCCACGCATTCAAAAGTTGAGATAAATTTATAGGATAAACTTTTAAAATTTACCTTAGTCTTGCAAGGACCACATCATCTTTCTACGGCAGAAATGAGTTTGAATTTATTTTCCTCTTCCGCGAATAAATATTCTACCGTCAATACCAAAAACTTCGCCACATCACCTATGTCGTCGGCCACTTCACTATCTATTTTGTTAGCAAAACTGAGCCAAAACTCTCTAACGCGACCGAATATCTTTATAGTTGTTAGGCGGAAATCGAATCCTAAATATCATAGTCCTGGCCTGCATTATACGGTTTTATTTACGGTCGGCGAGTAACGTGCAATTCGCTGCAGGCTGGCGCCTAGCGGCTAATGTAGCATTGACGGTAATTCAGCTGGTACACTTGGTGAAATTTGTGTATTTTTGCTGTCTGAAAGCCTTGAGAATAAATACATGCACTGCAAATGGTTGGAAGTACATTAAATTTAAAAATGTTCTTAATAATTTCAAACGGGGCGATTTAAATTGGCCTGCGAATTAAATGGGCCTGCGAGTTAAATTTTGTGCGAGTTTAATCGGCCTTTTTCTCTTGGCTCCACCTGGAAACCCTGGATCAGACACTCTTACGAGTACCTAGATGCAGAAGCAATGAAGAAGCAGTTGTTCGTTGTTGTCGTGCGTCGGAACCTAGAGTTTGGAAACGCTTTGTGGTGACCAAAACGAGAAAATGACAAAAATTTAGTCCACAGTGTTCAGTGACGTGCAACACGGATAATTTCGGGATTAAAAGGCAAGTCATGTGAAGAAAGATTAAAGATTATGAAGCTTTCAGGCCTCAGTTATCGACGTCTGCGTGGGGACCTCATCG